ATAAACTGAATTTGGTGAAGATAAGTATTGCTTTAAATTTTAATCAAATATTTAACATCAGTCCATCTTAATTCCTTATATAAAATAAATAGAATTTTTGCTTTCGCTTACGTGGTATAACTGGTAGCATGTCCACCTAGCAACTGGACTGATCCATGATTCAAACACGACAAATATTTAACTGATTTTTTATGTTTCCTACTCTGAAAGTCCTAACAAACTGTGCAAGTAGCATCTGAATTAAATTATGATGGATGATAATTGATCACTATCTGAATTTAAATTACTGTCATCTCATCTTCTCCCCAATAGTCCTTTAAATGGAAGTAAGATTTACATGGAGTGAAAATGTAATTGAATTTCTGATGTTTTCTGCTCTGAAGGGTTTAATAAACTCTACAGCCTAGTTCAGTCAGTGGACTAAAGGCTCTATTGAAAGCATTACTACATAACAAGAACATTTTCAAAAAGTACATGAGAGATGGGCTTTTACTCAAGACTCACTTGAGTTTAAGCTAGGACACTTCTCTATACTTAAGCAAAAAGATTTTTAATAGTAAATACTAATTCAGTAATTTTTTAAAAACTTTCCTTTTGCAAAACTCATTATTTTTAGTTCTTCATTAACTCACTGAAATTATTTAATAGGAAAAAATGAAAATGCTCTGAAACATGTGTATTGTACTTGCCTGCTTTGCTAATCAAATTTGTCCTCGTTATTAAAATTAATAGTAATTAGATATGTTACATTCTTTTAATATACAATTAAATTTTCTTGATTTTTCATACCTTCATGATTTTAGGTTTCTCACTCAAATTTTGAAATTTCATTCAACTCTTTTTTTACAGGGAAGAAAAATCTTCTATTTATGTTTTTGATATTTTAAAAATAGATATACTGCATTTCCTCGTGTATGTCCTTTTTTTTTAAACTAATTTTATCACCTGAAATTTGAGGAAAGAAAATTATGCAAGTAATTTAATTTCTGAAGAACACAGTTAGAGTAACAGCATATCAAATGAAAAGTAGTCATAAATAAACTATTGCAAGTTAATATTAAAAAAAAAAAAAAAAAAAAAAAAAAAACCCCTACATTCCAACAAGAATATTATATTATAATATCTGATGAGTACTATTAATATTATAATATCTGATGGATGTTGAGCCAATATCAGATAATAATTGAGCTGGACACATCAGATTCCAGGTCAATTACCTAGTAAAACTACAAAGGTACATCACATGAATGAGTCTTAATGGTAGTTACTAAGAGGAATGAAGGACAAGGGAGATGAACAAAAAGACCTGGACCTGATAGATTGAACACATCGGCAATTGATACAGCTGCAATGAACTAGAATATGAATAACAGAAGTAAAGTGAAATCAAATGTTTAGAAAGATTCTTAAGTGTGAGAACACCTGTCATGACCACGTAGCCTAACGAAGAAGCTACACAAGATATGTTTCAAATAATAAAAGAAAGGAAAAATAAAATGGATGAAATGCTAATACAAACTGAATACACTGAGCAAAAATAGTAAGGGAATATAATTTACCAATAAACTAGTTCTCAGAGGAAAAATAATATCTACAATTGAGGAAGAAGAAAATTATACGAATAATTTCTAAATTTTCAGATCCTAACACTAAAAAAAGCTCGGGGGAATATGATACACTAAGTTCTCATTTGCATATCATTTTATTATCAGAAAAATATGTTGAATAGGTAGAATTTTAAATTACACAACACAGTATATATAAATATGCTTCTCCAAGGCCAGGCATAATTTATTTTTAATCTTCATTATAAGAGACTTAATTAAAAATATTAACACTATGAATGAAATATTAACATGATGTTTAAAATATTAACACCATAACAGGGTTCGTACAATTTCTGCACATGGAAATTACATACTTATAAGGATCATTAATAAAAAAAATTAAGGACCTATGAACAAATGGGAACTGAATAAATTCAATTAAAGGTATTATCTATGTCTGAACTTCACTTTTGTAATAACATCCTAAAAATAAAATAGATCCGTAGGTAGGATGAATTATTATCAAACATGAATTAATTAACATAATCATTAATAAGCTTGAGAATAAACTTTGCAAAATTTATCAAGTAGCATTAAATATTTTATACTTCATGAAATTTAAGAATAACAGTCGGACAAATTTGAAGAAGGTAACATTTTATTTAGGTTTTACTAATAGTTAACTTTATGCTAATTTTTTTTATATCTCATTTTGTCTCATACTTGCTCAGTCTAGAAGCTTAGTAATTAGGTGTCGTAACTTCGTGTAGAGCTCCAGGGTTTGTAAGCCAGTTAATATACTTTAAGGTTCCAATAAGCCACTAAAGCACCAGAGATGATAAGTTGTTTTGTATTATTTTAAGTCTCACTAGATGCGAAGAATAAGTTTTACATGAATTTTTACATTTCTGTGTGTTATCTTGTGACCACGATAAGGATTAATGAAAGGCAATAACTCGCTTTAATATTCAGAGATAATTTTTAAGAGATAATTAAATTAGGTAGTCAGATAACCTTAGTCATTATGGATTTACATGGCCAGTATTAAATTTTATTTATTTACTAACAATATTTGTTAAAAAAGGCCCTATTAAAATCACAAATTAATAAAATTTCACAGTTAAAATACTTGTAATTTATGACATTGATTCTTAAACGATATTAGGATAATTTACACATTAAAAGCTATAAAATACTTATGTTTTGCAGCAACAATACTCAAAGAAATATTTATGTATCTTTTTAATTTGAAGCCTTCCCAGACATTCTGGCTAATTTATAGAGATTTCCTTCTCTTTAAGCATCTTTCCTAACAGTTAAAAATTTGTCTCGGTATGCAAACTAATATTCTCAGTAGTTTCTGAGTGCTTTATCTCCTAATGACTTAGAATATGTATTAGCTTTATACATATCTTTGCTCTAATATGGGTATTTTGACACATTTTCTGTATTTCGATCCTACGACTCAAATTATGCCAAACTGTCAAGTTTTGTAAAAATCGCAGTAGTTTTTAAAAAATTAGCTTTCAAAATTTTAGCTTCTGAATGTTAATTGAATTTGGTATATATTTGTTAATATCTCTCTCTTTTTTTTTTTTTTTTTTTTAACTTAGTTGATTCTTCCTTTCACATTTTGAAATTTAGGTTCATTCTAAATAAAATGTGCCCATTCTTTATGATTTAGTTTTAAAATTTGTATTTTAAAATATAAAATTTTTAACATCATCTTAGTGTAGATGCAATTCTAGGCACATTTTTATGCTAACAACATCAGTTACAGCTCCTGGTGGTCAAATTCAAATTAAAAATGTGGTATTCAAAGACTACATAAGTTAATTTTAATTTAAGCTGACTCAGTAATTCTATTGTCATAACAAATTCAAATGTTGGCAAGGAAAGAAAAGATGAATAATTACAAATTTTCAGAACCGGTAGGAACTAATGCAGGGAGCAAGCGGAGGTCAGAAACAACTGTCTTACACTCCAAAAACCTCAATTTAAAAACTGTCTAAGTGATTTGCATTTTGGTAAGAAAAGAGAAATGAGAAATTATAATAAATGCTGAAATTATTAACAACTGAGTAATTTACATAATAAGCATTTTTGATATTTTCCATGCTTGTGTCTAGTGAAAAATAGGGAAAATAAAAAGAAGACAAACATGTTAAGAAAAAGATTCTAGTATCAGAAATAAAACATTCAACTATTATGTTTTCATTGCTTTTCCAAAAATTCTCCAAAAGGTTCACCATAAACTTTCTATAACACACATCCATTACATGTTAATACAATGAAGACATTTTTCTGGAATCTTCAATATTGAGTCTATAAATCTTGCCCTATCCTTCTAAATTTTCCAAGCTGCAATGTGTAAAATCCTAAAGTAAAATTACCCCTACCAATTCTGTAACAGCAAAAAGCCAAAAATATTTTTTTTTGGGAGGGGGGAAAGTGTAAAATTATTTTTATAGAGAAAACGGATGTATATTCTGAGAACTCTGAGACAATTACATGGGAAAAACTCTTATCATGAAAAAATTAAATAGAAGACATTTTTAATTAATTACATAGCTATTTTGCTTTTGCTAAGAACTGTTTCATAAATTGTGCTTTATAGTATTATAGCTTGTTTATTTTTCAAATTCAAAATATTGTATACAGTGGACCACAGTGGAAATTGTCATAATATGAGAGCAAAAAAATAAAAAATGTTTAATTTAATGCTATTTTTTAAATATAATTTCAATATATTACCATTATTTTAATGAAATTTATCAATATTACAATGTTTTAAAAAATTATTGAAAAATTCCCAGATCTTGGAATTAAAAATTTTCTGTAGAAACTGATCTTAATATCACCAAATTTAGACCCGCTTAATAAAAGAATTCATATCTCCAAAGGCGAAAACTTGTTTAAGAGCTCTTCATTAGAAAAAATTAAATAATTTCGAAATGGAAATGTTTCACTTCTTGCTCGGGAACTCGAGTATTCCACCATTTGTAGGAACAAATTATATCACATGAACTTATTCACCCATAAAGATAACCATATTTCTTAGTGAATCACCAAAAATATTCCTCTAAAATGCTAATTTACACTCAAAATGGCAGTTGTAAAAACAGACAGAAATTTCAGATGATTAAAATTAAGGAGCTTCTGCAGATTTTGGCTGAAATTAAGGAATTTTAAGGACAGCACGAACCCTGAACAAATAAAATTATTTTGAAATCTTTTCAGTTTGCTCAAATTAACAATGAAGTCTAGACTTTGAATTAAACAATATACATAGATTATATATTCCTCTTAGGCTAAATCTGAATTATTCATTTACAGAAAAAGAATGAGTTAAAAACTATCTATATATTCTATAGATAGTTTTTAACTCATTCTTTTTCTGTATATACAAAGTACTGTTTTTCATGCAAGGAAAAAAGGACAACAGAAACTCACCCCGAGGTTCTTCTTTAAAATAGTCGAGCTGAAGACACTTCTTAGCAGAATATCTGAATAAAATAACCATTATTAATATAAGCAATTAAAAAAACAAGCAAAGAAGAAACTTCTTACATAGTGGAAAAATATTATAAAATACATCATTATATTCATAAAGAACAGAAATAAATATTAACTAACATTTTTAAATACAGCACAACATTTTAAGATACTTAGAAAATACCATAGAATGGTACTGCATATATCTAATCAAAATATAAATGTATACATTCTGTTACTATTTAAAAATGTAACACTGAAAAATACTATGTCAATTATCACTCACAATATACTTTCATTAAAAATGAAGATGATGCAATTGAAAAGTTAGAATTCCTTATCCAATTTCTGAACATATAATTTGGTGTTTTCTATATATGAGAGATAGATAGTATTTAATATCTGATATTTTGAAAAACCATATAGTATACCATACATATAGTTCGAAAGAGAAAATCAGCTATGCCCTCACAAAGATACAGACTTTGGATCTTCCAATTGATAACTAGATATGCTACTATTTACATCATAAAGATTAAATCTGTGTACAACCATCTAAAAAATAATACAGCAGGGAAAATGAATATTCCTTATAGCCTCTCCCATTTAATAATGGAGGTTCAAAACTTCTCAAATTTGGTATTTAAAATAGGCATGTGATTGAGAACAACATATTATATTTATAAGCATTAAATGTATTCTTGGAATTATGTTATATGCAATGAGAATAAACTCATTATGAATATGAGCTTTTGGTATGAAGCAATTAAATACATTAGCCTCAATCCTGAATTTTTGCTCACTTCTCTTTCAAATAAAAGGATGCTGCCCCCAAATATTAATGTTATGTATTATTTTTAAATAAATTTTATAAGTAAGAGGAGTGTTTAAAAGATAATGCTTAAAAATACATTTGACACTATAGTTCCTTAGTAAAAATGTAAAATCATGTAACAACTATAAACAATATAAAAGCTATCTCGTAAAAATTACAAATCGAGATGACTTCAAAATCAAAAAGGGTGAGAAAAAATTAAGAAATTTTAATGCACAAATAATTTAAAAAAGAACTCTTGTAAAAATTAAATACATTTCAAACACACAGTAAATATGTACAAAAAATTTGCAATAAATGGTAAATAGCTCAACTCGAGGTTCAAGGGAAAAGCAGCTCAAAACTCGAACTAAGTTAATACCTAAAGCGTGTTTCGTCAAATGATAATAATTGAGATTATAATCGTAATTTCACTAATAGAATAATCCAAATTAATAATTTTAAAAAGTTTAGTAAGTCTCAATTATATTGCTTCTTTTCCTGATGCGCTGTAAATTAAAATTGTAAATGTAAAACTTACAGTTAAACAAGAAAAAGCTATACAAGAAAGCCTAGTTAGGCAAATGCAAGATTAAAATAAATAGCTATTAGTCCAAAAATTACACAATTTTAAGGGATACACCTTCTAACCCGAAAACTAGAAACTTTTTTAGGAGAAGAATCCAATGAAACATAATAAAAACTTATTGAAATGGGTCTTGGAAAGACCAAAGAAGAATACAAAAAAAGGACGAAACATACTTACAACCAGAGCGATGGTCTGCTCAACTAAAAATGATAAAAATTGCTGCAACGTGTTGCCGTAAAAAGAAGCATTCTAAAGGAGTGTTACCAGAAAAGTAAAGTAGTAATATAGCAAATCTAAAAAAATATAGTGAATATAGAAAGAAATATATGGCAACACTTAAGATTCTCCCTGTATTCTAAAGATATGCTACTTTAAAAAGTTTGTGATTGCTAACTCGGTGATTTGTGAATTCAAAATACTACGTGACCAGAGGATATACTATGATCAATGCAATATTTTCAAACCAAAGTATGAGAACTGATATGTATACAATCAACCGGAAGGGACAGTTTACTCAAAACATGTTTCTATTTTGAAAATTTCATAGCTTAACATAGAATTGGTCGGAAATTCTATGTTAAGCTATGAAACGTGCTGATCACATTAGATTTCTTTTGATACATTTAGTAAATTCATATAAAATCTTAATAAAGATGATCATTACAATTTTAGTAGCCTTTGATTTTTAATATAATTGAAATTTTTCTCATTGATAACTAACTCATTACTTCAGATTGAACTTTTGTTCTTAAATTTTAAAATAATTTCTAAATAAAAAATATTTCTGAAGTTTAACATTTAGTCACGAGTGGTTTTCTAGTAGATAATTTTTTTTTCATATTATGTTAATTAAAATCATTAATTGGTTACTCTATCAACATAAGTGCATACATATATACAAATTTATATTTACCAGAAACATCTTTTTGTGCTTTTTAGAAAATATTATTAAATAAATTTTGAAATTATTAACTATTTTCATAATAATTCTGTATAATACAACAATTAATAATAAACAGTATAGTATGTTGTATTATAATTTAAACTCTTAATGAACTCAACTAGGGTAGAGTGACCTAAATTACTTCCATGCAATTGAGAAAATAAGTTCAAGAATTTTTTCTCCCAGATAGAAATATAACAGAATACGTATACAGTCAAATACCAAAGATCTGCCGACCTGAAATCCACGTTGCCTCTCAAAATATAAACATTTAGTTCATAGGTTCCAGAAACCACAACACAGAGTATGAAATATCGAAGAAAAAATACTTACTGGATAATGACATCATAATTATCGAATAATAATGAGTCATAACAGAAATACCAAATTATTGTCATCACGCTAAGAGTTTTTTTTCCCTCCAATCTGCATCGAGGTAAAAAAGCAGACGATTAACTCAACTTCTCTTTTAAGTTCACGCTGTTGTACTTTCTAAGCTTTGTTATTTCACGAGACGCACTCGTGATTTAAACGTAAACATGTTGCATTGAAGGTAACGAAAAAAGTGGAAATTCTGCTAAAGATGGAGGCAGGTGCTACTGCTCGGTTTATAGCAGAATCGTATGGAATGGCTACACGGACCGTGTATGATATACGGAACAATAAAGAAAAGTTGTTGAAATTTTACAGCAACAGTGATTCTAACACCGGAAATCTTTACATGAGGCGAAATCGGCAAAGCTTGATGCTGTCTTGTACGAGTAATTCCGGCAGCAGCAGAGTGATGGGGTACCTATTTCAGGACTACTCCTGAGAGAAAAGGGGAAGCAGATTCATGCTGATTTAAAAATAGAGGAGCCTAATGTAAATGAACAATATAATATAATCAGTTTATATGTGTAATAATAATTTAATGCATATAATTAATTATTGTATAAATGTATATAACAATTTAATTAAATGTATCTAATACGCCTTATTTATTTTGCACTTTTAGTCTGAATATTATCTTTTCTGTCCTGAAATCCCCAAAATTCTAAAATCCGAACAACATCTGGTCCCAAGCATTGCGGATTTCTGGACATCTACTGTACTACAATTTTTAATTAAAGAATAAAATTAATAGAGATACAATTAAAGTAAAGAATAAAAAAAAATGGTGCAAAAAAGACTAATTTCAGAATTTTTATTGGAGAATTGGGGAAGGGGTAATAAAATAATTAAATTCTTTGGTACAACTGCTATTAAAATTATTTAGAAGCAAGCGTTTTTTGCAGATTTACAAAAACAGTATTGAATTGTATGTAATTACCTTGCTTTAGGGTAGTACAGAAACATAGCATTTAATAAGTTGATGCAATTTTCAGACTGCTGGCAGAAAATTTTCCTAATGTAGTTGTATCTAAGTGGGAAAAGAAAATATATCATAATAGTAACTGAAAATTATTATGGGACATTAAGCACAGAAAATGATACCTTAAACTAAAAGATTATTCACAGCATATTTCCAGTCTTTCTCTTTTCCCTCCGAGCAGGAAAGGAATTTAGAATTTTCTTTTTGGCATCAAAGTTATTTAAATAAAATTATATCACAGTCTTAACACAGAATTATTATCATATTTCTTTATTTGCTTTACTATGCTCTATATTTTTTCTTGATTTCCAATTTACTACCATGCATATATAAAATCTTGTTATGCTATTTCTCCCTCAGAAGTAAAATGAAATAAATGTGATTTTTTTCCATATGAATTGATCAAAGAATATATTGTTATGTGCTATGATTTTACACAGAGATCTCCTAAAATAACTGAGCTAGATAAACAAGGGAAACTATGAAATTTATTACTTTTATTCCAACTTGAAGTAAATAACAGAGTTTATACAGAAGATAGGCAGCTATACATAGCTCATGGAGAATACAGAGATAAGCCAAAATTCTAATTAACACACATTTTAAGGAATATCACATATTACCATAATTACTCACAGAGTAAAGTTTAGGGCAGTAAATAGGCAAAAAAATAATCAGTAAAATAGAAAAACAGATAAAAGTTTTCTCAACTGGCTACTCTCAGCTTTCTATTTATGCCACAACTAAAGAAGGAGGAAAGCCACTTCAGGAAATTCTTCAAAAAATTATTCCTATGATTTTGAAAATGCATTTAATGGAAGCTCCCAGAATGCCACCAATATCTGGCAGAAAGGTTTTTCCCTTATCTCCTGTTCAACACTCACATTATCTTAGCAATTCTATTGTCAGTTTGTCTAAAATTTAAAACTCTACAACAGTAATACAGGAAATAAGCGTATGCAATTATAATAATTGAACACAAATCAAAAATTAAACAAACATAAAATCACTACAAAAATGCATTAAACAAACAAATAAAGAATTCAAAATATACATAATAAATAAAAAATATAAAGAAACCAAAATGCAAAAAAATAAACTCAAAAATTTACAAAACAATTAACAATATACAACATGCACATTCATTGTATTAGAAAGCTAGTTTGGGAAGAACTAAAAGTAATATGCATATTTAAAAGTACTGTTAAGCAGTTTTCTTACAGTCTGATATGACAAAACTGATGTTGAATTTTGGAAATTCTTCTTTTGTATTGGGAATGGGGAAGGGTAAAATCTTTTCTCCCCAGATGTCTTAGAGAAAAAGTAGTTTATTTACCACTTTAAAATATTGAAATTTATCAAAATACAAAAAACAGGGAACACATGTGCACAATTTGTTGTACAAATATGGACTTCCATTTTGAAATTTAATTATTTCTTATAAGCATAAAATCATCACTTTTGTAATTTTAATATTGATTGTTCCAATCACTGTGTTCATTTACTCTATTATGACTGAAAATTTCTTATGTCTTAATTTTTTAATAAAAATTTCATAATTAAAACTACTAAAAATAACAAAATAAGTAATGAGTAATAACAATAAGTAATGCATATAAGAATTAAATTATACTTAATATATTTGGGAAGGGGCAGGGAATTTTAAAAATTGGGACAAAAGCCCAGTTTTTACTTTCATGCTGTATTATAATAATACATAGCAAAATCTTCTCTGAGAATATGAAGACATTAAAATTAAGTGCATGCATAAGATTTTTTTTGAATATTTACTATTTTATCAATTAATAATTTAAAAAAATCACTAAATCCTATTTCATTTCAAATATTTACCTTTTATTGGAACTGATATTCAAATGTATTTACAATCTATCAATCTATGAGACATTAAATGGAAGTTTTTCCTAACAACTAAATTAAACTACAAAATAAATTGTGTAGTTAGCTAACCATGGGAATTTTTATATATAAGTTCCACATTATTTTGACTCCTCAAAATGTTATGAACAAGTGACTGATTACAACAGATAAAAGACTAGCAATAACAAGGTAATGAGTTGTTCCTGTACATACAATTTGAAATATTTCGATATTTTTCCGTTTCACCAGCGCAAATCTTACCAAGCATACTTAATAGGTGACAACATACAGTATACACATAAAAATGTTAACAAATGTTAGTTCTAAGAATTTTTTATTTTGAAGGCATAAACATTTTAATATCATTTAAAATTTTGTAAAAAGCCAATAAATAAAGACAATAAATTTTTAAAAAGACATTAATTTAAGAATTTAATATGCTTTCATGGTTCAACATCCTGATTCGCCGGTTCATATCATGCACCTCCTAGTAGTCTCATCTCCCGTAAATTCTGCTACAAAAATCTAATTCTCTCAGTAATTATCTAAATTAATTTAAAGTTAAATCTTAATTTGGAATAAAAGTTTAAATGCTAGAATTATTTCAATTCGTACGAATAGCTTACTCAGAAATTATGTAAAATCGCAGTACTTTACTTTGTAGAGAAAGGGTTTATATTTATTTTAACTAACATTTATTTTAAGCTATCTTTTCTGTCAAGCCTTTACTTTCCCCTAGAACTGCCAATGCCAGAGTATGTAAATTGTAGTAGAACGTGCAGTGTATTCGAATTTTAGCAGAAGTAAGTTGAGTTTAAATAGAAGGGAAACGAGTTTGTATGTGTGCTTCTTGAATCGCGAGCATGAAGGTTGTTAGGTAGAAATTTAAGAGCGCGTTTTGGCCTGTGTGCCTATCTCGGCAGTTCGTTGAGAATCTTTTAACTGCTTAATCAGTAAGCTTGCTGAATCTCAACTGTATTTTAGAACGTGGTTAAATTAGTTACGATTTTAGAGACTCGCAGGGAGTGATCTAGTTGTTTATTCATTCTGTCATTTATTTTTAGTATCACATTTCTGTTTTGTTATACTGCCGGGTCGGCGTAGTTTGTGAGCGTCAAGTGAACGCAGCTGTTATTTCTAAAGTGGAATAAAAAGGGCTTTAAAACCCTTCTTATGAGATTGTGTAATTTACAGTTCATAGCAGTCACTACCATAGTTGCTGACAAGTTCGGGCCACGCAACACTACATTGGCGCCCGAACATCTTACGAACTTAGATGGCCGAAAACTGGATGGAAGCTCATGTACAACTCCAACAACAAGAAATGGCGAACCACTTAGAAGGATTTGAATACCTCGTCCAAACGATGAGAGCATCTATCAAGCCAAACGTCAATTTCGACGGAAAAAGAGGACAGGTCTCACTATGGTAGAAGAGTATAGGGAAATTTTTATTAGGAGAATTCGGAGGCCAAACATATACCTTTGAAAATTTTACATATCATTATTAAAGGCCTTCCCCATAGTGAAAGACCGAGCAAAGCTAGAAGCCGAATTGTATAGTTTTTATCAACGTAATATGGAAGATTTGACGGACTTTATTCTGCGAAAAGTTAAGCTGACAAACATGCTGTATGGAAAGAAACCCGACACGTAGATAACTGAAATAATCTTACCAAGATTGCTACCTGCTGTCCAAAATTCAAAATCCAAGCACCTTGCAGGAACTCTTCGAGTTGGCGGTCAAGTTCCAAAACCGAAGTATAGCGGAAAAATCTAGAGAGGCATCATATTCTCAAGGTCTCCGAAGGCAATTCTCAAATCAACAGACCGGAAACACAAATCGCTCTTATGGGGAAAAGAGCTATCAAGCCAACTCATTGAAGCTCAAAGGTCAAGGCGCAAAAAGGAAATTTGAAAACAACCGTCCGCGTACCCAAAGACAGAAGTTGAAAGGAAAGCTTTAAACGAGTAGAGGGGCCTGTAAAAGCGAGGGTCCAGACCCCGGAAGTTTCGAAAAAACCCTCAAGAAGATACTTAAATACGGTCGTGGTAAAGAATTCCCAATTACCAATTATACAAGTCCTGGTTGGCGATGTACCAGTAGAAGCCCTCATTGATACAGGGGCAGAAGGTAATTTTATGAGTGATAATTTTTTAAGGAAGAATTTTAATAGGTTACGATTATTTAAAAATAAAAACACAGAAATTATAGCGCCCAAGGAAAAACTTGTCAATGTATCGGGAAATTATCATTAAAATACAGATAAAAGAGGAGAAGCCTTAAAGTATTAATTTTTGTGGTGAAAAATTTGCACAAAGTCATCTTAGGCATGGAGTTTTTTAAAGGCCGCGAAAGGCCAAGCTGAAATTTTCAGGAGAATTCCATCATGCTGGAGATGGATCAGAGGGTGGTGGAGCCAGTGGAAAACCTCAGCTATACTTGAGCCATTTGAGCGTCCATGAAAGCCAAGCCATCCAGCAAGTGGTGAGTACTTTTTCAAACTTGTTTTCAGAACGGCCTGGTAACTGTCAAATTGTAACGCATGATATACAACTAACTGCCGATAAACCCTGTAGGACTAAACCCTACCGGTATGATAAACAGAAAGAGCAAATTATTGAGGAACACATTCAGGAAATGCTGCAGAACCAGATAATAACGCCCATAAATAGTGAGTACGCGAGTCCAGTCGTACTATGTAGGAAAAAGAACGATTTCCCTCCTTCGGATAAAAGGGCTTGGAGGTTTGCTATCGATTACAGAAAGCTTAATAGTATTACTAAGTTCCCGGTTTACCCTTTGCCGGTAATAGAGGAAATTATTAGAAAGATTAAGTCTACGAGATACATGACTACGTTGGACTTAACGTCTGGGGCTACTATCAAATAGCTATGAAACCTGATGATAGACATAAAACCACGTTTATAACAAAATCGGGCAAAAATTTTTACGCATGAACTTTGGGTTGTGTGGTGTCCCGTCAACATTCCAGAGAGCTATGGACATTGTTCTAAAGCCTGTCCTACGAAAATCGACTTTAATCTATCTAGATGATATAATTATAACGAATAGTACGTTGGAACAACATATTAAAGACTTAGAAGAGGTTTTTAAATTATTAAAAGAGGCCGGTCTTACAATTAACGCATCAAAATGCAAGTTCGCGA